TAAGGTAATAGGTTTTTTTTTTCCTTTTTAAGTTTACCTTGTTTGGAGACAACGTCCTTCCTCAGTGGACACAGAGGCTGAAGAGTCCAGAAAGCTAGGTGGTCTCTAAACCCCTGCATCTGCCTTTTATTTTTTTGGACAGGGTATCCATTAGAGATTGATTTTTAGATCAGTAGGTAACACTGCTTGGTTTTCATCTTCCCTGCTTCTCCTGTGAACTCAACTCATATCAAGAAGCTAAATAAAAGGAATCACATCCTAATAAAAAACTAATTGCTGATGCACAGCTCATCTGTCAGAAATTAAATAGTGGCCATTTGGCATAGCTGATCTAATACATGAGCAAGATTCAGAAGAGAACTTCAGGAGAAAATGGTGATGAACCTGCCAGAACAGGGAAGAAAGACGTGTAAGATATGCTGCTGTGCCCCCAGCTGGCTGCTTCTCCCCTTAGCCATTCTTCTCTGTGAATTTACGGCCTCTCCTCTCTTTGCAGGGTCCCCAGAGGTGAGCATCTAGGGGCTGTCTTGGGCCCTCTGCAATTGTCCTAGTTTGCTCTGCTCTTAGAATTTCCATCTTCTTTGCATGCCTTCAATGAAGATGTCTATATAATACTCACAAATCTTGCTTCCACTTCTGATTCCTCTCCTCCATATTTAATACTGCATTTCCAAAACTTTCTGGACATCCACTGTCATCTCAAATTCAATGTATTCAGAACCAGACTCAAGATCAGCAACTGATTTCCATTCCTTCCTTCCATCCTCCATTTATTGGCACTATGGTAGGCCTGAGGCACAGATAAGGATAAGGCACTCGACTTTAAGGAGCTCAGAGTTTGTTCCCAAATTGGAGAATCAAAATTAATGAGTCAGAAAGCATCTACGTGTCCTACCTCAACATCCTTATTTTGTATACAAGGCAACCAAAGCCAAGAGAGATCAAATGGCTTGTTTAAGGTCACACATGCTATTGGCAAAGCCGGGAATTAAACCCAAGACTCCTGATATGGTAATTTCCATCAAAGACATCATAATTCTCCCAGCCACTCTAGTTCAGATCTGAGGAGACATGTGTCACCATGTCACACCCTCAACAACCAATCACAAAGCACTTTAATACCTTTCTTTTGAATATCTCTCACATATGCCACTTCCTTTGGTTTCCAACCATCAGCAGGCTGACCATCCAGGTCAGCGTGACCTTCACACATCACCCTCAACTTGCCAGCAGAGATGTTCAGTCTCCCTGGTACTTCCTGCATTAGCACAGTTCCCCTGCCTGACCTGCACCACCCTCCCAGCCCCAATCCACCCTCCTCCAATTTGATCCACTCATGTCTACCAAGCTAATATTTCTAAAACATCTGTACACATCATGCACCTGCTCCAAGCCCCACAGTGAGTCTCCAATATGCTCGGGATGCTGTGTGGGAGAACAGGTCTGTGGTCATGGGGAAATACTGCTTGCACTCTACCCCCTGGAGAATCATTTTCTCTTGAACTAGTATTTCTCAAACTTATTTGACCACAGAACTTCCTTTTTTCGAAGAATACACATTAACCCCCCTCAGATCCAGTATGTGCAGAAGTGCACTGTGGGAAGTGGGAGCCTGCAGTCTATAATTCAACAGGTTGGTCAGGCAGCCCAGACTTCCTCTACTCGCCTTCCCATCCTTCCATGACTGCCTGACCCAGCAAAACTAGTCCATTCATTGTTATTTAATACTTTATTTTCACAATTTCTCCAACTAGAAATATTCTCCTTCCTTTCCACTTACTTAAATCTTCCTTCCTCCAAAATTCAGTTCAGGTCTCATCTCTTCTATAAGTCTTTTCCCAGCTCTCTCATCCAAAACTACTGTAGCAATTAAATACTTGTATCAGAAAACCAAAATCTCAACAGCAGAAAATGCATATAGCTCACATTTCCATCAAGAAGCTAATAAAATGGCAAAAATTTCCCTATCAAATAGCTTCAAATTAATTTACAAGGTAAGATTATATTACATTCTCAAGAACTGCATTTCTACAAAACCATTAGGATCTTGAAGGAGGGGAAAAAGGGAGATTTTACATTAATAAATAATTCACTGTTACTGACACTGAGTTCAGCTGTTTTGACTAGAATAACTTTAAGGAGACACTAGGAAAGTTTCATGCCTTCATTTTCATTTTGCAAAAACTGTCAAGAACCGGCTAATGAATACCATGAGAAGAAAAGAGAATAGTGTACAGAAAAAACAAAATCATTACAGATGCCATAAACACCACTTACACTCTAAGTGAATATTATCCCCTTCCTGTTTCCAGTGATTTTTTCACACAATATATACAAAATTAGTCTCATTTATTTAAAAGATACCACTTCTGTATATCCTTATTTTTATTTATTTATTTATTTTTAAAGATTTTTATTTATTTATTTATTTGAGAGAGAGAATGAGACAGAGAGCGAGAGCACGAGATGGGGGAGGGTCAGAGGGAGAAGCAGGCTCCCTGCCAAGCAGGGAGCCCGATGCGGGACTCGATCCCGGGACTCCAGGATCATGACCTGAGCCGAAGGCAGTCACTTAACCAACTGAGCCACCCAGGCGCCCCTGTATATTCTTATTTTTAAAAGATTTTTCTTCCTAATGGTGAAAAGATGCCTTGTGATAATAACACCCAATTCAGTTCCTATCTAAAGTTCAAAAGCAATCATATTAAATGCCACATTTTAACACACATGTATCTCCCCCATCTCCGTAGGAAGCTTCAAGTTATGGAAGAGCTCATGAAGAGAAGGAAATCTGAGGTAACCCTAGTCTTTCAACTTCCTGAATTGAAAATGTACAAAACTCATCTGTGAGCCTCCCACCTCCTCCTGACCACCAATGTTTTCCACCCCAGAGCCATTCATTCCCAGAAAGCTATGACAAATAGGACAGTAGTCATCAGCCTGGATCTCCCATACCAGTTGGGAAGAATTTTGGACTGTCTATACTCTGGACCTTACCAGCGTGTCTAAGATTACCATGACTGATTGCTCCTCCCTGCCTCTGTCCAACTCAGTCCTTGCTCACTTGGACTTATCATGCCTTCGTAAACTTTTTAACATCTTCTGGCTTGACCTATTATCACAGGCACCTGTCCTATCCTCTCAAGACTATATGTTCATGTTGTTTTAACCTTTAACCATCATATCTGAAGATCCCTTTGCTCAAATGAGCCCTGGACAGTCTTCTGAGGTGAGAGAAAATTTAGCCTCAAGTCCTATCTCCAACCTTATTATCCCACATTAATCCTTTACTTCAAGCTAACTGATCCATTCCCGGAACCTTGAATTATCCATGCCATACACATCCCTCATTTTGTGTTTCAAAAGCCCTGTCCTGCAAGACCTAATTCAAGGCTCTGATCCCAAGAAATCTTCTCTGATTTGGCCTATGATAATCACCTCAACATCTGAACTAGTATACTGACTGTCTTCACCAGAGATTCACACAGCAGGTCCTGCAAAACAATAGTCCCAAAACATGTCTCCAAGGAGAAGGCTCTCTCTTGGAAATTATAATGCACATTATCATATTAAAAACTTAGACATCTTAAAGCAAAGAAACCTTTCAAACAATATTGAACCCCCTGTTTGTGAAACTTATTTTTCTATGGAGTCCCTTTCTATCTTCTATCCTTTAAAAAGTTTGGAAGTGCAGACATAAGGAAAACAGGTCTCCACAAGTCAGTGGCATTTCCCACCAGTGATCTTGCATTCTAATAATGTCCATGTGCCCATATCTTCTCTCCAAATGGTTTGAATAGTAACAATCCAGCAGCTCCAATTAGCTTTGGGCTTTCTCTACTACTACTACTACGACTACGATTACGACTACTACTACTACTACTACTTCTTTTTTGAGAGAGAGCGAGAGAGAGCTAGCATGCACAAGAGCAGAGGGGGAGGGGCAGAGGGAGAGAGAGAGAATCTTAAGCAGGATCTATGCCCAGCACGGAGCCCAATGCAGAGCCAGATGTGGGGCTCGATCTCACAATCCTGAGATCATGACCTGAGCCAAAATCAAGAGTTGGACGCTTCACCAACTGAGCCACCCAAGCACCCCAAGGCTTTCTCAACTTCTATTGCTATCTTTACCCTCCCATCATTCTATGCTTGCTAGGTGATAAGGTCATGCACAGTGCCTAGCACATAGTAAATATAGAAGGCATTAGCTACTTTCATTTTGAAGCAGTAGGGAATGTGGTCAAGAGTTGGGTCTGTGGAATCAGACCAACCCTGTTTTAGGTCTGGCCCAGCCCTCACCAGTGAGGTCGAGGACTATGTCTGTTTTGTTCACTCATGCCTTGTACACACGGAGTCCCTAATATAGAACATACAGTCAGTAACTTTTTATTGAGTGAATTAAGGACAAAGCAGTTCTCAACCCAAGTGATTTTGCCCACGAGGGGAACATGTAACAATGGCTGGAGACACTGTGGGCTGTCACAATTAGCAACCGGTGGCTAAAGGTCAGGGGTGCTATTAAACATCCTACAATGTACAGGACAAAGAATTATCTAGCTCTAGAGGTCATCAGTGCAGAGGTTGAGAAAACTTGCCCTAGAGTCAGGCTGGTCAGGGATACATTTCTAAATGCGGACACTGTTTGGCTTGGACCAAGTTACCGAATTTTTCTGTCTTAATTTCCTCATCTGTAGAATGCAGAACTGGTGATATAAGGTTGTTGTAAGATAACATATATACAAATGAGATAAACTGAGTAACACATATGAGATGTGTTTAACACAGCAATTGGTGGGTAGAATGCATGACCTATGAATGTGACCTGTGAGCATTCTTACCGTTAGCCTTCAGTCACTATCTCATACTGATATGAGGCTTTCAGCTGAAAGCTTTATTCTCTCAGAACTCATTATCAATCCCAGAGTGAGTACTTTTATCAAAATAAGCCCTGCGCACCCACTTATGTTTACTGTATAGTCAGATTTTATTTATGTGCTCACCAGGGGCTCAATAGTGAAAATGTTACTCAAGAAGAGCATGCTGTTTGCCTGAACCAGCCTCCTCTGATTCTCAAAGGTGCGGGAGAGAATGGAAAGTTGTTCTCGGAGGGAAGGATCAATAATGCACTCTTCAAGAAGCTCATCGGTCTCATTCTTTTCCTTTTTGCTCAGATCATCACAGACCCTAAAGAAAAGACAGGAAATGAGATTTCTTTTGGTGTTCCCATGAAGAACACTGTAAAGGGCTCCCCTCCAGTCCATCCTCCTGAAAGTGGTCTCGCCCATCACCCTTAGGTGGTCCCTTTGTGCTGTAAGTCTGTAACATACGAGCTGAGTGAACTTGGACTTTAACCTCTCAAGAGCATCAGTTTGCTCAACTTTAGTCACTTCTTTCAACAAGCCCTCCTGGGCTTCCTGTTCTACTCAATGCTCATTTGCTTACTACTGAGGCTTTATGTATATTTAGACAAATACTTTCTTTCAGATAATTATGTTTCCCAGGCTGCTTTTTAAATATGTAATATCTACCATGCCTCTCACACTAGAAAAACAATTTTGTTTCTTTTCAAACTTACTTAGCTTTAATTCTTTCTTAGCTGTTAGTTACCTAGAGAACAGAATCTGGAACCAGCAAGGACTAGGCTGGGATACTGATTCTGCTATCATTTACTAGCTCTATGACTTTGGAGGTTCCTGAATTCTTAACAGCCTCAGCGTCTTCACCTATACAACAGAGATAATAGGAGCTCCCCCATCATAAAGATGTGTTGAGGATAAAATGTGATCAAGGACCTGACAGTTCCTGGGACAGAGCAGGTACTCAATGAATATTGTTTTCTCTCCGGGTCAGTCATGGGCAACTACCAAGCTCTCAAGCTTATAAAATGCTCAAACCACACCTAAAGACACCTCCTTTTTTCTCTCCTTCTAGTTCTTAATATCCATCGTTATAAGTCAGAAAAGCAGCCTTCCCCAACCCTTTCCTCACTGTCCTCACCAAAGCTGTGTTCACATTACTCCTAGTACCTGTTACTTCATCTGCACTTTGAAGACTGGATTTTATCTCCTCCCAGGACATAGGACCATTTTCCCAGCATTTTGCTGATATTGCCAATGGTGACAGACAATTTATTCAGCTAACTGAGTGCTCAGTAAGAACTCTGGGTCACTGAATTCCTGTCCCAGCTCCAACTATTTTCTAAATGACTTCATGCAGACTCTATGTTCAGCAATGCCAAACAGCTCTTTTTTTTTTTCCCCAAAGATTTTATTCATTTATTTGACAGAGAGAGACACAGTGAAAGAGGGAACACAAGCAGGGGGAGTGGGAGAGGGAGAAGCAGACTCCCTGCTGAGCAGGGAGCCCGATGTGGGGCTCGATCCAAGGACCCTGGGATCAAGACCTGAGCGGAAGGCAGACCCTTAACGACTGAGCCACCCAGGCGCCCCCAAACAGCTTTTTTTAATGACTTGGCATTCAGGGCCCTTTGGTCACAGAGGATGAAGAAGTCAAAGAAATGGGTTCAATGTGTTCTGTGTCCCAGGAAGAAAGCACCCTGTGCTTCCTTTTCACCGCTAGCTGGAAAGCAGTGTCCAAGGTAACAGAGCAGCCGTCCTTCTACACTGCTGCGCAGAGCGGGACAAATAAAGAGAAGTCAGTCCACAGAAAGAAAGGAAACCATTTAACTCCTGTGAGTGGAATTTATGATACCTACCTTTGGGAATATATCCTGAAGAAACAATCACGGATATAAACAATGACACAGCCAGAAAGATGTTCATCAGAGTGCTTGCAATAATACTAACAAATGTGGGTAAATTTGACGGGAGAGATTAAAGGATTATTTAAACAAATAATGGGAATCATAAGCATTCCATTTCTTTAGGGGGTTAATGGGAATGCGGTGTGGAAATAAAAAGTCTTATATGGACCAAGGATGATACACTGCATGAACTGATGAGTATGATTGATTCAAACCTTACAAAAGAAAACAAAAGAGAATGAAACAAAAATTCCCAAATGCTCTTCTCCCACACTGCTGGGACTCATGAATCACTCACAGCCACATAATGCAAAGGGGGTCATGATGCACTGTATGTCTTCCTCTTTGCCCTCTGATTAGACAACTGGAGCCATGGCTGAGAGTCTAAGAAGGGAACATGAAACACCTTGACCCGAGCTGACTCCAACAAGGGTTCCTATAAACCTCAGTCTATTGCTGGGCAATCTTGTCCTGCTGCTATTCATGGTCTCCTGCATTCAGAGGTGCTTCTGTTTTACAGATAAGGAAACCTTTCATCAGAGAGCAGAACAACACACTAGCCCTCTCTCTCAGTAACCCATTTTACAAATGGTCTGGTAGCCACTTTCAGGCATCAAGTCCAGCCTGTGGATTATAATGAATGGGAAAGCCTTGTGTCTCAGGTACAGTAGCATTAGACCAGTAATGCTCCCTTATATTGAGGTGCTAGAGACCCTGCTCCTTTGCAGCACCCCCAAGAAGTGTAACTGGATGCTGAGCAGATTAAAAACTCAGAGTTTGGGCCTTCAAGAAATACTCTCAGGACCACACTTGGCATGGAAAAGATGAAGTCATCCATCTTCAAATGGACCATGTGACCCTGGACACTGAGCAACTCTGTGATGACTATTATAAAGTGAAGACTAGGTCTGCCTTCCTGTTTCCAAGTACCATCCAAGTCTTCAGATTCTTGTATCACCCTGGGGAAGAGAAGGGACTCCCAAACACAACTAAGATTAAATTTATTATTAGCCAGGTGTCAGGCTCAAAGCCCAATTAAAACTGATCTATCTAGAGAAAATGTCACTTCCTGCACCTGAATGTTGTGGAATAAATCCATGCTGACAACTTTGTGGGGGTTCCATTGAGGATTCTAGGAATTCTTGTATAGAACAAATCTAGAATTGGAGCCAAATGCTATTAAAACAATGGCCCATGACCTTCATGGAGAAATGGGAGCAAAAATCCTCAAAAGCTCATGCCATGTCTCTGAATATAATAAACTGTGGTAAGAATGAGTATGAAAGAATCTTGTAGGATGTTTTATAATCCCTCAGGACAAGGGGGAAGAAATAGGGAGAGATGAATGCACCTTCTTTTTCTGAAGAGATCAATTTCTCTGCAAGTCCCCCCAAAAAATCAACAAAGAGAAAGACCCAAAAGATAATTTTTTAGAGGTCCCTATATCTCATTCTGAAGGTTTTAAAAAATGAAAAAACAAAAACAAAACTTAAGGCCCAGAACTTCTTCCTAGGGGGAGTGACATCTTCATTGTTAGAGTCTAGAGCCTGGGATTAGCCCAAGGACCTCAAATATGGACATATGTCCTAAGGTTTGTACCAACATGTTTTGGTTTGATAGGTAAAGAGTAAGTCATCCTTCTTGGAATGGAAATAATAAACTGCCAGAAAGGAATAGGGTTTCCTGTTCCTGATTAAGGCTGGAATTCCTCCACAGAGAGAAGAGATATCCAAGTCTTGACTCAGGTCACATCATCAGGATGCGGGAGGACAGGGGTGCCTGGGTGGCTCAGTCAGTTAAGTGTCTGACTCTTGGTTTCAGCTCAGATCATGATCTCAGGGTCCTGAGATTGAGTCCCACATCAGGGACTCTGAGCTCAGCGAGGAGTTGGCTTGAGACTCTCTCGCCCTCTCCCTGTGCCCCTCCCCCTGCACTTGATTTCTTAAATAAATAAATAAATCTTTTAAAAAAAGATGCTGGAGGACAGAAACCTCAATGACTAGAATAGGGTCTTGAGGGTACCCATTAAAGTGAATAGCATTTTCAATGCGACCATTGAGCAACTTTCAGCTTCTGTAAGATGAATGCCTTAGGACAAGCTTTAAGCCATATTATAACTGGACAGCAATGGGCAGACTCTTGAGTCTCACCTAAAAATCTACACTGAAGTTTTAAATCTTGGGTCCTTGGGGAGCTACAAAGGGAAACTTTATTCTCTCAAAGTATGCATGAGCCCATTTAGAACAGATCCTTTCTGTTCCAAGTTGAGGACCAAACTAAATGTTCAGTAAAAGGCAAACCTCTCTGTATTTGTCTTGCTTTTTGAGAGAATGGGCATTCCATGGCTAGTTATGTCCAGTACAAGAATTCATGATGAGTAACACAAACTTCAATTTAAAAAATACATTGAAAAATGAAAGTTATGGCATGGTTGGGGATATAACAAGGAACAAGAGAAGCATAAAACAGAAAAGACAACCCGGCCAAATAAGAAATTGGGCATAAATGGCCTATTTCCCCTCTAACTCTATTTCCCCTCTTACCCTGGCCATCTGGCCCTAGGAAAGGTGGAGTTTGGAAAAGGTAAAGAGCAGCATATTCAATAACCTCTTCACTTAGATCAACCAATCCAGTTTGGAGAAACATGAATTGTGTTGTCATGTGTCACTCAAAGTGAAAATGGAAGTATTCTTATTTAGTCATCTAAACCCACTTTTCAAGTTCATTGTTTAATGGAGGGGCAAGATCCTAGATGATCAAAGTAGGCTTTCAATCACGATTATGAAAATGCCATTCCATATTATTCCCTTGCTACAAAAAAAAATTGCTATAGGAACTAATAGAGCAAGAAAGACAGCAAAAGAAAGACAACATAAGAGAAAAGGAAGAATAAGGCCCAGGATAATATGAAAGAGATAAAAGGGTATGAGTATCGGGGGAGGTAAAGTAGAGGAATAAAAGAAAGAAATGTCTATCCAGGCATCGTTGAAATTGTATTTGCTATCCCTGGAACCTCTGATAATAATTGGTTTAAGTTTTTCTTGAGTTTCACTGTTGAAATTAGCTTCCTTAAACACTTTTTGGACATTGGTGTGGCATCAGTCATGTGTTATACATATGGTCAAATGCACATAGTTGAAGGTAAAGCTAGCTTTCCTTCTGATGGTGTGTAACCATTCTCTCCAAAAGATGATGCCCACAGGACAAGCAGGATATTGAAACACTGTGTTTACTGGAGTTTCCCTTGTTTGTACCTGCTCTCCCATTTTATCTTTAAGCATGCTTGGGCCATTCTGATTGTTGGGACACTCATGAATGGGGGAATCAGGACAGATGAAGCAGTGGATGAGCAGTTTCCTCTTGCCTTTTTGAACTACTGGTATTTCTATGCTATGAGGCAAACTGAAGTTTTTAGGCAGGAAAGGCTTTTCTTTTCTCACTTTTTAAAGATGGCACAGTGGCAATCCAGTGATTAAATCTCATTGTCTGAGTGATAAAGCCTCTGGTCCACTGTGTCCTGCCATTGTCACGGCTCCTTCTGATTCAATTAGGGACAGAACACTGGGAGATTTCTGCCTGGTTTCTGTGGACCTAAGACTTTTATTTTTATCACATACTAACTTGGTTTTAAACAAAGCTTTGAAGCTTCCCAGGGTTAATCTTTAATGAAAATGGAGAGGCAAATAAAAAATGCTGAAATAAATTCTAATGAAAGCAGCGGAAGTGCTAATTCAGGGAGGGTGGAAGGAGATAAAAATGGAAATGGACTTTAAAAGAGGCAGGGATAGATTCAGTAAAAAGAAATATTTAAAATTTAACAGTGATGAGGTTAGTTAAAAGAGTTTGGTTTGCCACTTTATTTTCTCCACTGCCTGAAGTATTCTAAAAAGCAGAAGATTAAAGATACCAACAAGAAATCATTATTAAATTATATGGTTAGCAGGGATTGAACAAGGCTACTAAAGCTGAGAATATAAAAGCCATTATACCTAAGCCCTTCTTTTCCCTCATTCTTCATATTTTCTGGAAATATTTTCTCACTGAAAAAAAAATCCACACTGATCCCAATCCAAAGGAGATTATTTTTAGAAACTATGAAATCTGACCAATCTGATTAGGGTTATGAAACAAAATACAGTCCTGTACGTTAGTTTTGAGAGGCTAATCAAAAACGATATATTTGGTCTTTAAAATCCAGGAGTTTAGCTATTAATAAATTATAACCAGGTTAAGATTAACTGGGGATGGACAACATTGTGTTCCACATAGCTCAATTCAAGTTCTTTAAATGAAAAAAAGGAGCATCATACACCAGAACCAAGTTATAAAAATCTGACCTTGTTTGAGTTGGGTAAAAACTTACCACAAAAGTCACAGATTTTTTCATAATAACTGAGCTTTGAGTTCCCCCAAATTACAGCATATTGGTGATTTTTCTTACAAACCTATACTTTTCTCTGTCTTCCTCTTCCTGGGTAGCAAATATCTTCCACTGGAAATGGGCAATGATGTTACTGCGGTTGTGAATAGTTACAGTTCGTTGATTGGACAGAGATATGTAGGTTTTCTCAATGATCAAGGAATTCCTGTCCAGCCTTATATTCATGTCTATGGCAGCTCCATACAGAGATAAAAAGACTTTTTCACCTAGAAATTAACAAAGTACAAACACACTTTGAGATTTATTCTAGAATGACTACTAGGCTATCTTTTCCCCAAGGTGAAGTTATAGCACAAGCATTAGACATTTCATTCTCCTCCCCCCCATCAATCCAGAGATCAGACATGATCAGAAAACTTAAATATTATGTTTGATATAGTTATGGAGAATCAAACTATCTTACTTTGGTCACTGTAAAAATCACATAAAATATGAATTGTGTTGCCTTTTCTTCTTTGTAATTTTTTTAAAGATTTTATTTATTTATTCGAGAGAGAGACACACACAGAGATAGAGAGCACAGGGAGAAGCAGAGGGAGAGGGACAAGCACATTCTGCACTGAGTGCGGAGCCCAGTGTGGGGCTCCACCTCAGTACCCTGAGATCATGACCTGAGCCAAAACGAAGAGTCAGACACTTAACCGACTGAGCCACCCAGGTGCCCCTTCTTTGTAATATTTTTAAGTCCTACAGCCTGGCCATGAGGGCCCAAGAGTTCTAGAATTATAACTGTATGCCTCCTCTTTATTCCAGGCATGAGCTGGCATTCTGATTCTTAAAGTAACTGTACCAAGTATATCTAAGACGAGCTGCTCAGCATGCAAGGATCTAAGTCCAATCAAAGGGGATCAAAAAGAAAGAATTAATAACTTCATTAGTTAAAAAAAAAACAACCACAAAACACACAACTATTTAAAAGGAATCACTTCCTTCAACAGCAATTAAAACAAAAATCACACACACACACACACACACACATCTTACGTAGTAGTTACATAGGAAGAAAACAAAATAGAAAGACAAAAGCTATGTGTAAATTTTTTAAATTTTAATGTTTAGAACACCTTTATTCAGCATAGTAATTTAAGTTCCTGATTTCATTCAAGATGCACCAATTCCCTTGATTCTACGTAAAACATGAGGCCCCTTGGGCTTCCAAGGAGACACGAACATATAAACTATGTTCTACCTGATTTCTGCAATGTCACAGCTGGTGCCTCACTCTGACATCAAAGTAGAAAAAGGAAATACTTAACTACAAGGAACATCCTGTGGATCTGTGCTGCTGTAATTTTAATCAGAACCCAGAAAGCATAAGCACTTGTGCCTTATTTTTTAGCAAACATTTCTGCTCCACTCACCATTGTATTAACCAAGCAGGCACTTAGTAAACTAATAATGCTTTCTACAGCTCAAACATCCTTTATGCTCCATCACTTTAAACAGAGAAAAACTTTCCCCAAAATTTAAAGAAAAAGTATCTAGGCATTTGACTCTAAAATTTTAAACTTTTATGTAAAAATGTATAAAGTAAAATTTTCCCAAATACTACAAAAGCATACACTGTGAAAATAAAATGTCTTCTCCCCTTCACTCAATCCTAGGCCAGCCTTTCAAAGGTAAAAGCTGTTAATATTTTCATGTACTCCCTTCCTAAATAAAGGTATGTACTCTTTCAACTTTTAAACTTTCTGATGAGCTAAATTTAATAATATGATAAGTGAGAAATCATTGTTGTTCTGATTTGCATAGTCTTAGTTATGGATGATGTTGAACATCTTTTCATAGACTAAAGAACTTTAAAGACTTTTTTCTGTGAGATGCCTATTATAGCCTTGTTCTTTTTCCTTTTGAGAAATTTACCTTTTGCTTATTGATTTGTGAGACTTTTTTGAGATTAAAAAATTAGCTCTTTGTCATTTATGTTGCAATTTTTTCCTCCATTAGATATTTGAACTTCTCTATGCCTTTTTTTTTTTTTCTGAATAAGTCTCTTTTCTCTTAGTCCTTATGTAGTCTAATTCTTTTCTTTATGGCTTTTAAAAATAAGTTTATAGGGACATCTGGGTGGCTCAGCCAGTTAAGCGCCTGCCTTCGGCTCAGGTCATGATCCCAGGGTCATGGGATCGAGTCCCTCTTCGGGCTCCTTGCTCAGTGGGGAGCCTGCTTCTCCATCTGCCTGCCACTCCCGCTGCTTGTGCTTTCTCTCTCTCTCTCTCTAATAAATAAATAAAATCTTTAAAAAATAAAAAAATTAAAAATCAGTTTATATTTTTTTAAATTACATTTTTAACCTCAACTTCCATCTTCCGTTTAAAAGTAGCTCCTTTCTTAAAGAAACTAAGTCGACCATAAATAGGTCTGGCTCAATATACTATTTAAAATGAGACATAGGTAATTTTCTTTTTTTAGCAATGATAAGGTAGGTTAAGTTAACAGACTTTCCTGTTAAAATAACTTTAAAATCTGGACATAATATGAACAAGCATCTTCTTAAAGTCACTTCAGAGCCATCGTGACGGTAAGGAACTATCAGACCAAAATTAAAGGAAAATAGGACCAAAGAGATCAGTGAGCATGGAAGAAAGTTTTGACCCAAGGATATGGTACTCTTGGCAATGCTGAGCTATCATTCCTGTGCAGGCAGGAGGGATGGCAATCAAAACCCTAAGTCTACAGAAAGGGGGACTTAAAACAAACAAACAAAAAGACTTTCTCCACAACAAGCTTATCCTCAAAGGACTGCACCCTCAAGATGAGTTTGAATTAGAAGAAGACTAGCCCTAATTCAGAGTTAAATATTATGCTGGAATGGCCTATGATTGGAGAGAACTTCAGTCCTTGGATTTGGTGATCATGGACTGCTTTCACTCTCAGAAACCTAGCAGGAGCAACTCACTTCTCTTTGGAGAAAAGTACTTATATTCAAAGTTTCAAATTCTTCAATATTTTTAAAAATACACATCCAAACATAACCAGGCATGCCAAGAAACAAAACTCCATTTGTTTGAACCAGCAGATATAAGAAAAACAGAAACAGATTAACAAAGAATTATATAATAGAATCATCACATATAGATTGTAAACCAACTATGTCTAAAGAAACAAAGGATGACCTTGAAACTATATCCAAGGAGTTGGAAATTAAACAAAGATCTAGAAAATTTGGAAAAGAGCCATACTAGGCTCTTACAGAAATAAAATAAAATCACCTAAATTTTTAAATCCTACAAATAAGATTAATAAAAGAATTTTAATAATTTTATAAAAAGATTAGTGAAATGGAACATGGTTCAGAAAACACAAAAGGCAATATGAAGAAATAAAAATATATGAAAAATGAACAATGAATGACTAAAATCCTAGGCAGATGGAGTGAGAAGGTATTAAGTGTTTAACTGGAAACTTAGAAGGAAAGGAAAGATATAATGAAGCAAAGACAATATTTCAAGAGCTGATGGTTAAGAGTTTTCTAGGATTGACTGAAATCATCAGTTTACAATTCAAAAAGCCCAAATGAATGTCAAGTGGAGAAACTAATACATGAATATATTATAGTGAAACTAAAGAAAATCAAAGACAAAGAGAAAGTCCTAAAAGCAGTCAGAGGAAAAGACATATTATCTTCAAAGGACCCATGGTTAGAATTACAGCTAACTATTCAACCAAAGCAATGGAAACTAAAAAAAAAAAAAAAAATGGAATGGCTTCTTCACTGTGATGAAGGGGGAAACAATGTCAACCATGAATTTATAGTTTTTTAGACTTTTTTTGTTTGTCTACAAACATCTTTGTTTTGTCTTCATTTTTAAGGATATTTTCAATAGGTAAAGGATTGTAAATTAGCATTATTTTTCTTGCAGCACTTGAATAATATCACATTACTGTCTTACGGTTTCCATAATTTCAGCTGAAAATTTTGTCATCAGCATTATTGTCTGCCACTTAAGTAAAGTGTCTTTTTTTTTCTTCTGACTCCTTTTATGACATTCTTTTTGCTTTAGTTTCCAGCAGTATTTGAACTAACAAGGGTTTGCTGAGCTTTGTGAACCGTGAATTATTGTCATTATCCTTTGGGAACTGATAGAATTAAAACATAGTATAAAGTCTCAGTAATTAAGCCAGCATTAAAAGATTGATGGAATTGAATAAAAAGTCAAAAGAGGCCCAAATACATGCTAGAATTTATTATATTATAAAGGCAGCATCTCAAATCATTGGCATAACAATAAGCTTTGTAAAAAAAATAAAATAAAAAGCACTACTGGGACAACTTGGTAGCCATATGGAGAAACATAACTCCCATCTAACAATAGAACAAATGCCAAATGAATAAAATATTTAAGTGTTCAATATGAAACCATGAAAGTAGAACAATACACAGGAAAACTTCTTTGTAACTTTTGAGGGGAAAGTTTTCTAACTATGTCTCAAAATCCAGATTCCTCTAAAAAAATATTAAGAAATGTGATTACATAAAAATGAAAAAAGAAATTTTGGGGTGGCTGGGTGGTTCAGTCAGTTAAGTGTCCGACTCTTGATCTCAGCTCAGGTCTTGGTCTCAGGGTTGTGAGTTCAGGCCCCGCATTGGGCTCCATGCTGGGCATGGAAACTACTTAAAAAAAAAAAGAAAAGAAAAAAGAAATTTTGCATGCTGCAAAAATATAAGTAAAAACAAAAGAAAAAGTGGCCAAAATATTTGCAACTCATATCTGAGACAAGGGAATTAAATCCCCAAATATGTAAGTAAGTCTTAGAAATCAATAAGACAATCCAGTACAAGAACATGATAGAGTTGTAAGAAAAGAAATATATAGGCCCCCTATCTATGTTAAAAGATGCTCAACTTCTCTCATAATAAAAGTGACACAACTAAAGATGTATTTATATACCATTCCCCCAAATACATTGCGTAGAACAAAAGTTTGAGAACATAATCTCTTGCCAAGACTGTGGGGGAGAAGGCCCTCTTATACATTGCCATGGGAATGCAAAATGGTACCATTTTTCCTCACTCATGGAGTGAGTTTGGTGACACAGATTAAAATATCTATCAAGCTTACAAAACAACTTACCCTCTGGCCCACTTCTAGGAATTTATCCTGTAGATGAGTTAGAACAAGATCAACAGAGTAGAAAAAGCCAAAGTACCCATTAAGAGAAGACTGGCTAAATAATCTGTGTTACACCTAAAAGTGGAATGCCA